TTGTTACAAATTGGAAATTCAAAACATTTTTTTCCTCAATTGCTCTTTAGTTAGCGTATTTAGTTAACGTATTTAGTTAACGTATTTACGATTTCAATCTGATGTACAATTCACTTTAGTTTGACGTGGTAGATATTGATAGATATTGGGAGATATTAATAGATATTGGGAGATATTAATAGATATTGGGAGATATTAATAGATATTGGGAGATATTGATAGATATTGGGAGATATTAATAGATATTGGGAGATATTAATAGATATTGGGAGATATTGATAGATATTGGGAGATATTGATAGATATTGGGAGATATTAATATATATTGGGAGATATTAATAGATATCCTCCATCTCCAGAATATTATCATATATTAGTCTCTAGAGTTATTAGTTAATAATTGACAATATAGCTCAACAGATTATACAATATTAAATCTTATATTTCATTAACTATCTATCTATCTATCTATCTATCTATCTATCTATCTATCTATCTATCTATCTATCTATCTATCTACCTATCTTTCCAGATATTTATCAATCTATCAACATTCAACATCCTTTCTCTCTATCTATTTTCACTCTGCAATCTATATTTATGTCTATATATTCGTCATTTTACATGCTTTAAACGATGTAAACTTGTAAACATATTAAAACTTGCATTGCATTTCATATTCTTCAATACCATGGTTGACGCACGTGGATTTAATGCAGTTCTGACAATGTTCCAGAAAGCTATGACTTTCGCTCACAATTTCTCCTATTAAACATAATTTTTCAGCTTTCTTTCTTAAATACTTTTTTGCCGGCATATACGTTTTGAATAAAAATTATTTACAAACAAATCCGTAAGTTTAAATATTGTTAAAATATAAGCCAAAACGCGTATGATTTCAAATAGAAGAAACCGAATCCCTCTAACTCTGGTTAGTCCGGGGTGGATGGTCGACCTTTTCTGACATTTAAAAAAATCAACCATTAGAAAAATATACTTTTCTAATGATTAAAAGGACTTGAGCTATATTTGAGCTATTATTTTCTAATGATTAAAAGGAATTGATTCTTTGCCACTAATAATCATTTTCTAATTTTCGATTAAAAAATCATAAATGTAAAGTAACCAGAAAAATTACCTTTTCTTGTACTTGTACGTAAAATCCAAATCTAAATTTTGACATTTTTTAACAATAATATTTTAGTTTAGAGTGCGGGTATATAATATTCCCATGCTTTCCTATTAATCCCCGTATCCTTAATTAATTAGGTGGCGTGAAGCATGAGTAATATGTAAATAAACATGTCTGCTAGAATACCATTTCTATGAATGATTATCATCGGGTCTACTCCAGAAGTAATAAAATATATGTTATTATATTATTAAAGTATAATTGTCCTGGACCCGTGTTTGTTCTGTACCTTGAACAATAATAGAGTTAATAGTTGGGTAATTATATTAATATTATTGTACAACAAAACCTTGTGTTTAAACTGTTACAAGTTAATAAATGATGTTTAGCTGCAGCTCAACACTTATCCACAGTATACACCTCTTACATTCAACAATAGGATATAAAGGGGGGGGGGCAAATACACAATATAACAAAGATAAATTAATAATTCAAAACCATTCTCAGATAAACTTTTTCTAACAGAGAATCCATATTTACATAAATTAAATTGTTTTTTGTTAAACCAGCACTTATTTATTTATAAATGCTAGGTTTAGTTAATACAGTTAATAAAATAAAACAATATTTGCTGAAAGTTCTTGCCAAAGCCTCTAATTAAGAAAAATGTATAGAGAACTAGGTTTTACTTGATTAAGTAATAAGTTTAGAAGTTTAGAAACTAACCTTTACAAGATATAGAGAGAAGTATAGAGAACTAGGGTTTACATATAACCATGGCAACTATTCTTAAGTGTTTAAAAAATATATACTTCCAACAGCTTTAAAATGAACTACATGAGTCAATTTATAATTAAACATATGTGTCTTTTCATGTATTTCTTACTGTCTGTTAGTCCATCGCTACGTTTTAAAGTCCTTAGAGTGTACAGCATTTTTATGGAATTCATCCACTAGCCATATTTGTCCACTATGTCCCGTAATCGTAGGTCTGTGCAGTCCTAAGTTCCTGGCGGTACTCGACTATATTTCGTCTGTCCATAATTTATAATTATATTTCTGTTTCAAGTCCCTCTGTTTCTTGTTTGTCAGTAAGGTGCTTTTTTCCTGTTTCCTCTTATAGTCTGCAACAGTCCGATATAATCCTTATTATATTTCTTGTTTTTCTTTATAGGTTGTCAAGTTTTGTGCAACATTAAATGATACATGTATTGTAATATTGATGAGAAGTAAAATGTGGAGAGGTTTTTTTGAGAGGATAAATTAAGAATGACTGTCTTTCTTTAAGTCGAAAACGAGAAAATAGTTAGAAATTCTAATAGAAATGATGCGCGTCAAAGAAAAATGTTGGTACTTTTTGTGAACTGACAAATTTTGATAAAAGATGGTCAACAATCATGATCATGTTGTAGTTGATAGTCAAGTGAGGGGGGGGCGAAATCCAGTTTGCCCCCCCCTTTTTGCGCCACTGATACCACTTGAAATCACGCTGTTTACCATTCTAACCTAAATTTGAAAAATAAAAATTTTTGCTTTTGTCAAATTCTCTAAGAAAGAAAGCTTTTGACAATTTAATCCAGTTTTAATTCCAAGGGTAAGTTTGTCCCATTATATTTTAGAGTTTTTCCTATTATCCATATTTATTACTGAAGGATTAGTTTATCAATATATTATCTACCGCCCACCAGGTGAGAAATTAGCTACATTTATCAATAACATCTTATCCAGGGAATTAGTTCATAAGATAGATCTAGGGTCATACAGGGTGTCCCATGAAACATGGGAATTAAGTAAACACTTTAATAACGTCTTCAAACCAAGTGGCATTTTTTCATGAAAAATAATCGTTGCAGTATTTCAGTTTAATATCTAATATCGAAAACACCTGGTCTTGAGTTTTTCTAAATGTGGTCTTCGATTTTTGTATCTTCAAAACTGACGAAGACATTGTTCACATTTCAATTTATTTAATAAATCAAAATTGTCTAAATATTTATTATCTTGTCAATTTTTAAGACAAGAAACAAGTAGACCTCTTTATGAAAAGCTTGTAAAATCGCACAGCAGCTTGTTTTTATACTTTCTTTGCCATGTATTTAATTACAGAAATCAAAGAAAATTCTCAAGTCAAGTCATTTTTCCTTCTCTTCCCCATTCCCCTGCTAGCCCCATGTTCCCCTTTCGCAATACCTTTTGTTTTCCCAACCTCCCCATCCCAATCCCCATAGCATCTGACTCCTCTTTCCCTTCTATTTCCCTTCCCTTTCCATTTCCATGTAAATGTCCATTCACTTCCCTTTCCTATTCCCTTNTTCATGAATTATCATAATATAACTTACTTCCTTTTCCTTAATCCAATAGTTTTAATTCTGATTTAAACAATCATTATAGGGGGAGGGGATAAACTTGTTAAATATTAAGTAGATGTTAAGTTTAAGAGAAAATTAAATTTATTAGGGCCGCAAGTTCACCCTCCCCCGGCCCCGCCCCCAATTTACCCTTCCCCCCATTTTTGTCTTCTGATGCATGCATGTAATGTTTTTCGTTTTGCAGAAAGTGATGTTACATCAATCGACCAAATATTTAATTTGACTGAAAAGTCAAATATAATAAAAATTGTTGCTATTCTTTTTGGATAATAGAAAAAAAAATTGGGAACAATATTTAACAAATTAACGAGAAACGAATAAGAGTTGGTCTGATGTATGCGTAGTCCGGATCATTTAGCATCTAGAACACCGTCCTATTTCCTAAATACGTCTCCGTACTCTATAGTGTTTTTCCGCTAGTTATTTTCGAACAGACAGACTTACTTATGTCATGTTTAATTGTCAGCACCTGTTTTCGTCATTAAAAAACCTCGTATTCTTTATTGATTGATTAAAATTATTATAGTTTTGTATAAGCAACGAGAAACTCATAGAATATTTTCATTATCGCGGTATCGATACTTGAAATCACATCTACGTGTTTTATGTATCGATACAATAATTGTTACACCGGCAGCGCGGCATTTTGTAATTGTTTGAAGATTTCTGTTTCAGTATTCTTATAATTTAGAGTTTATAAAATAAGACTAACGACAGATCAAATAATCGTGTACTTGAAAATTATCGTACTTTACAATTACGTTGAGATTAATTAAAAGGTAATTTCCTAGTGAACGATTTTTAGGCCCCCCCCCCTCCTATCAATTTTGTACATGGATCTGACAGAAAGTGTCTCAACTTAACCTAACCCGTGGCCGAAGCGCTCGGCCCCCTAGCCCATCCTAGCCGCAGCGCTCGGCCCAGAAAGTGTCTTAACCTAACCTAACCNCAAGACACGGATATAATTGACATGTCCTGTCCTAGCCGCTGTGCTCGGCCCCCTAGCCGGAGCGCTCAGCCCAGAAACTGTTTTACCCAAACCTAACCCTTAGTTAATAAAAAAATAATGAGTAATAAATTTTCGGAAACATAAGTCGTCATGAACAAAATTGTTAGGATGGGGGGGGGGGGGCCAAAAATTGTATACTTGGGTGGACTCGATTTTTGGCCTCGCCCCCTCCCTCATATCAATTTTGTACATGACCTAGTTTTCAACTTTCATAAACAATAGTAGTATTTTTTTTGTATTATTTAAGGGTTAGGTTGGGTCAAGACAAATTCTCGGTCCAGCTCTGCGACCTTCATTTTTTGATATTTTAACAGAAACAAGTGATTATTCTGTATTATTTAATGAGATTCGTATTTTTCCACACTTACACGTTTAAATTGCAACTTTTAAATCTGTATATTCTAGAGCCAATTTGTCGTTGCATTACATCAAGCATCAATGTTGAGATTTCATATTTTGAGATGCAGTGGCAGGGGGGGGTGATTTTGAATGAAAATAAACACCCATGGCTTCATTTAATTATACATTTTTAAGGGCCTGGATCAAAGCTACTGAGATATTTAACTTAGAAACGAATTTAAACCTGGATCGGCAGCAGGTGCGAAGGAAGTACAATGACATGAAGGCAAAGAATAGAAAGGTATTGTTTCTTTTACTTATCTATATGTTGTCAAAACCACGTATAATTTAGATCAACAGTTTTTTCTTACGGAACATTATGATGCCATGGTAATAAACAAAGAAATGACATTGTTTACATTAGAAACAGACAAAAGTAATAGCCCTTACACTTGGTTTTTTGGCTTACACAACACTGACCAGTAAAGAAAAGTTATGTTATCACATAAAAAAAAATGAAGCGAATGAAAAACATAAAAGGAATGGTTTCCTGTTAAGACTAAAAAACTTTTAGTTTGATAAGTGCTTATTAAGTGCCTAATTAACAAGTTATAAAGTTTAAATACAATTGAAATATGTTATTATAGAGCTTAGTAACTGCGAAAGAGAACAGGGTAGCGGCCACCATGGGGAGGTTTTTCCACCATGGCAGAGGGACTGGAGGGGGCTCTCCCATCTTTCCCCCCCCAGAACAGGATGACATAAATGCCCTTCCTCTCGAAATGCCGCCCCATATGCAGGTTAGATCATATTTCAGTCTGATTAGAACAGGGGTGTATATTTTTCAGCATTACACACTAGGGGTGTGAAATCTAGTGAAACTTTTCTAAAATCATTTTACATAAACATAATAGTATTCTACTTGGAATTCTAAGACATGTTTATAAAATACATTTTTTACGAAATTCAAAAATGTGCCCCTCTAATGGGGTTTAATGATTAAAAAACACTAGTGTCAGCGAAAATGAAAAATTTGACAATCTTAATATTTCATATTTCATATTCATTTCATATTTTTATTTAACTGCAAAGGAGAGAAAATACAAATAAAAAAATCACAATTTAATATGTAGTTTGGACCAGCGTAACCAGAGTGGAAGGTTCTTATAAAAGTATTTATGCATAAAATATAGAACACCTAGTTATATGTTTAATCAAGATTTAGAAGTTCTAATTGGAAGAATATTGGATCTGAATGTGCTCTAATAATATGGGTATCCATTGAACCAGCTTGAAAACTGGAGTTTAAAAAAATTTACAGAATTGAAAAATATTGAAAATTGGGCAAGTTATGGTCAAAAATAGTTTTTCTTTGAATAAATTTCATTATAGTACTAAAATGTTTTTTTTGACCTTACTCTGTCAAATTTGAAATTTTTCAATTCTGTAAATTTATTTGAATTCAGAAATTCAATTCGGTTCCAATGGTACCCAATTCAAGAAGTATTTAAAATTTTACTTTTCATTTATACTAGTGACTTTTTAAATATTAAACCCCCATTTGAGGGGCACATTTTTATTTTTGTGAAAAAAAATATGCATTAATATTCCTAGTATGATACTTTTTTCCTTATGTAAAATTGTTTCAGAAAAATTTCACACCCTTATTACACACACATACACACTTCCCAGGGGGGGGGGGGGGAAGGTATATAATTTTTATGAATTAGGGAACAAAAATTAGATATGGGACATCAAAATCCACGGTTTTTTAATCTTCAAATTTCCCCAAAAAAAATGTTCCTTGAAAGAAATTATAAATTATAATTATAATTATAACTAACTTTTCATTTACTTTTTCTTTTGTTTGATGAGCATACTTTCAAAATGTCTTACTCACAATGAGTTCTTTAGTAGTTTCCATTTCTAAAAGAAATTAATAATTTAGGTGAGCTTGCCTCCCGCCAGGGTAAATCCTTCCGTCCTGAATGGACCTCATCCAAAGATTGTTGAGCCTAGAAATCTCTCATATGATCCTCTCCTTATGGCTGGCATATCAGCGGGGATATTATAAGACCCATCTCAAGATTCAATGAGATCTCCAATTGTTCAACGCTTACAGTATACAGGATATTCCTTGCTATCATCTGAGTATGGAGACAGCCCTGTCCGAAAAGCACCTGCCCCAAGAACTTCTCCCCCGAGATCTCCTCCTACCCTTCCTTCCCCTGTTATCCGTTCCCGTCCGCAAAATTCTCCATTGTATTATAGACGGGTAGGATCTCCAGATATATCGCCAGTGCCAATAAATGCAAGACAGGAGCGTTTACAGCAACCTCAAAAAACAAAACGAACCAGAGCTTCAGCAGCAACTGCTGCTGCTCCTCCTTGTTCCGAGTCACGGGTTGCCTCTGCCACTAGTGCAGCTGAAGCTTACTATCAGGTAGAAACCAAGTGATTTTTACTGAATGTGATGTGGATCTGGATTCGGATCCTGGATCCGCACTGGATAAAAATTGATCCGGATCTAAATTCGGATCCAGATCTAGGTTATTTCTTTAAAATTTACTGAATTTCTTTAACAAAGCAAAACTTTCAAATGGTTTGTTTTATTTTTTATCGCTTATTTTTATGTTAAAACTTGATGAACCATCCAGAAATCAGGAAATTTTTATTATCTCTATTTTTTTCAATCGTTGATATTTGGGTTTTCAGACAAAATTTTTATTTTGGCAGTTTTGGGTTGATATTTTGCCCCTTGGATCAGGATCCTAACCCTTGCCAGAAATATCCTTATTTCCTTATATCCTAATCTGGTGTTGAATCACTTTTAGGTCATTATTAAAAAAACTTTCCACAACATAATTTTCAGGGCAACCATACTCAGATTTCTGGATGTAAACAATAAATCAAATTAATGATAAATCTTAAATGGAATTTTTTTCAACAACATTTATTGCAGCTTCATCGTGACTGGTTGTCCAGGACGGAGATGGAGAAGGTGGAGACAAGTCTAGTTGAAAGAGAAGCGTATAGAGCTAAAAAACTAGCCTTTGAGGCTCAAGCCGAAGCCTTCAAAGCCCAAGCGGCTTATTGGAGGAAAAAAACAGAATCTGAATTTCCCATCACGACTAACTCGCAAAATAATAAAGACAAAGTTTTTATCCTTTTAATGATTATTTTTCCTTTTTTTCCAATTTTTCTAACCAATCGTTTGATAAGTACTATGTTCAATCCTTTATTGCCCAAAGCATTTTTTCATCAGAATTGGCTAAAATCAGGGAAATTAGAGGGAAAATCTTCTGAAAAGCTTTTAACTTTGTATAGTTTATAATTGGTTTCTTAAATAAAATGCTATTTCTTTTTTGATCACAAACTCCATGACGATATGCAAATGATTTCTAATAATAAATCAAAAAGTCAAAATCGCTTAAAAGATACATTTTAAAATATCTTCGAAAAATACATAAGGGGTGTATATTTGCAGAATTGAAAAAACAAATGATTTTTGTAGAAATGAAAAAGTTGCAAATGTCTTATATATGGCTGTTTGGTGTTGAGGTCAAAAATGCTTAAAGATCACTCTGGTGGGCTGTTCACTATTATTTTCATAAACAAAAAACTAAGCTGGACCGGACAAACTTGGAGTATGTTGCTAAAATGGTTCCAAATTTTAAAGTTTTAGTCTAGTCTGGTCCTATTTAATCAAATATAGAAGAACTATTGGACTTAATTTTTGCCTATATATACTTTTTTTTCTTAAAGGATAAAAACTCTCATCAAGTTGAATCTGTTGCTTTAATTTTATATACTGAATTTTTTTATCTCTATTCTTATGAATTATTTGTTATCCTAATACTGTATAACGTAATAATGTATTTGGTACAAACAGTACTGATATTTTTTAATTTTTCATGTAAATACTGTAATAATGTAAAATGTAATAATTTGTTTAGTTATATTGTTCATTACTGTATACTGTAATTATGTATTAGGTACAAATAGTACTTTTTTTTTTAAATTGTCGTGAAATAATGGACTCAAAACCTTGTAAACATTGAACTACGAAATTCTACTCTAAAAATTGAGCTTTGAAATTCTACTCTAAAACTTGTAAACATTGAGCTTTGAAATTCGACTCTAAACATTGTAAACATTGAGCTTTGAAATTCGACTCTAAACTTTGTAAACATTGAGCTACGAAATTCTACTCTAAAAATTGAGCTTTGAAATTCTACTCTAAACCTTGTAAACATTGAGCTTTGAAATGGTACTCTAAACATTGTAAACATTGAGCTTTGAAATGGTACTCTAAACATAGTAAACATTGAGCTTTGAAATTCGACTCTAAACATTGTAAACATTGAGCTTTGAAATTTGACTCTAAACTTTGTAAACATTGAGCTTTGAAATGGTACTTTAATGATTGTAAACATTGAGCTTTGAAATGGTACTTTAAACACTCTTAAACATTGTTAACATTGAGCTACGAAATTCTTCTCTAAACATTGTTAACATTAAGCTTTGAAATTCTACTAGAAAGATTGAGCTACAAAATTCTATGCTAAACATTGTAAACATTGAGCTACAAAATTCTACTCTAAACATTGTAAACATTGAGCTATGAAATTCTAGTCTATACTTTGTGAACATTGAGTTTCGAAATTCTACTCTAAACATCGTAAATATGGAGTTTTGAAATTTTACTCCAAACATTGTAAACATTGAGCTACGAAATTCTACTTTAAACATTGTAAACATTTAGCTACGAAATTCTACTCTTAACATTTTGAAATTCTACCCCTAACATTGTAAACATTGAGCTTTGAAATTCGACTCCAAACATTGTAAAAATTGAGCTACAGAATTCAACTCTAAACTTTGCTGGCATTGAGCTTGGAAATTTTACTTCAAACATTGTAACCATTGATCTGAATCAAACTGTAGACTGTAAACTGTAAGCTTAGAGCTATAAAATTGTACTTTAAAAACTTAACATAACTATGTGTTGAAAAAATTAAATCAAAATAAATCTCTTTCTTGCACTCTCGTTTTTAAGAACAAGTGAATAGATAATATAAAAATTTTTATTTATGGTATTTCTTAAATGTACATATTTTAAATAAGCAACCGAAATAACATTTAAGTATTGTATTTAAAAAATAATACAGATACATCTTTGTGCACTTGTATTTCTTACAGTAAGATATGAAATAGTAATTTTAAAAAAACGTTACAAATCTCAAAATATTTTCATCCGTTTGCATGTAAATTTTTTTTGGACAAATTTACATAGGCAATAATCAAAGTTAACAAGGATTTAGTGTTACATTTTATAAATTGATATTTAAATGAGAAAAAACTTTTTAGAAATCTTTCCAATTTTAATGCCTGTGGAAAATACATACCCCGTCAAAATTACTAAGCTCATTACGGTGTGGTGGCCCTGAAAAGGGCCTGTTAAACAAAAAAGATTCTCCCGACCACATCTTTTACCACAGCCGCCGCAGAAGACTCTCACAAAGTTTTAGGCAAGCTGTTTTCTCTCCTTGGCAGTTGGAGGAGGCATGTTAGCCAGCAGATTATTTCTGACTATTTCTCCTTCAGCTCGAACAGCAGCATGATCTAGATCATCTTCCACTCGAACCTGTCCCTGGTTGGAGTTGCGGAATTCGGGGGGAATATCATCATCATCCTCCTCAGTCCACTCAGGTTGCTTCCACAGGACACTTAAATTGTGAAGAACTGCAGTAGCTAACACTACTTCTATGGCGTTGGAATGGTGAAACCTGACCTGTTTGATGATCGGCCACCTCCTCTTCCACACACCAAAGATGTTCTCTGACCCCTCTGCTCTCAGACCAGACAATCTTAGATTAAACAGGCGTTTATTAGCATCACCTAGTGCATCATCGTTGGAGAAGGGTGTTACGCTTGGAGTATCCACTATCTCCAGCAAGAAGAAACTTAGGATGCTGTCCTTCTAAGATTCTCTTCACATCAGAACATCGCCAAGTTGTAGAATCAGAGAAGGAACCTGGGCTGCCGAGATTAAGATCGTAGATCAGTCTGTCATCTGGCCCTCCTATAACCTGTGCATTTACAGCATAACGAAGTTTTCTCCCAAAGAACACCTGAGCAATCCTTTCCTCAAGGATATTACGAGGTTTTTCATCTAAGAAGATATGAACTCCGTCAACTGCAAATGCAAACCCAGGAAGGTGATACTTCTCTAAAATCGCTTCAGAGGTCTTGTACATTGTCTCTAGGCTAGGAAGATGTAGAACCTGAGACTTCAGCTCGTTAACTGCTACACAGAACTTGTGGAGAGCGTTCCAAGCAGCATAATATGAGACATCGGCCAACAAAGCTCCAGTGCGAAGAAAATGACCACCAGCAAGGATGTTAAGGCCTATTAGCACTATATCCTGTGGTGTAAGAGGCCATCCTCCTCTTGCTGGAGAAGTTAGCTTAGCCTCCAGCAGCGATGTGAGGTGAAGAGCTCCAGCCTTGTCGGATCGAAAATTGGGAAGAAACTCATAATCCGTGCAAGTCTCATAGAAAAACTGAGTTCTTCTTGATTTATAAGTAAAACTACGAACTCCAACTGGAACAGGTGGTGGCCCATCCTCGTCGTGGTCCTCTAGTTCTTCAAGAAAAGCGAGCTCAATTAAATCCATCTAGAATTTAACACAAAATTATTATGTTATGATATTATAAAATTGAAATTTGAATAATTATTATGGGTGAATGCTGCGGTTAAATCTCAATTTTGAACAGCTTTCTATATATTTTTGTCTATATTAGGTCGCGTGATGTTGCAGTTTATGGTCGGACACTAGATGTTGTAGAAAATCCCATTTAGACAGTACTTAATTCCTCCGTATTTAGGACGTGAGTAAGTGGAGACATCATATGTTTGCAAAAAGTACGGATGAAAATATTCGGGCTCTGGCTCGCAAAACCCTAGTGATATGCTTACTAGAGGAGTCGATGTAACCCTAGAGGAGTTACAAGAAGGGAGTGAGTGGCAATCTGGAGCAGAGTGGATGTCTAGAGAAGAAGAGTTCTGGCCTTTGAGATCATTTGAAAAGCTCAGAAATAAGATGGATCCTACCCAGGTATCAGATATGGAGAAAGAAATTTTAGATTTACCATCGATCCATAAGGTAGGTGATTCCATGGTATGGAATTTCAGTGACAGTTGCTGCAAAATACCATTGGCTCCTGTTGGATGTCATTGTGAGTTTGGTGAGAAGTGTTGTTTCTGTCTAGAGCGGGATTTTTCATATGCATGTTAAGCTGTTTTTGAGCAGTCAGTCTGTGCCGATACTGGACCAACTATGTCCACAATAATATTAGTTTATGCTTATACATCAGTGTTTTACATTGGAGGAAATAAAGGGACGATTTCCTATTAGTTTACAATACCAGAAGGATTTGGAAACCAGTAGTTTGTCAAGAGAGTCATTCTACAAGATCACTCAAAGTCAAAAGGCAAACGAAAGTACTGGGATGTTAATAGAACCTGTTTTTAAAGGTTTTAAACTTAGTTTTGCGGTGATAGCCATAGTGATGAGATTTGTAACTAGAGTAAAGCATAGAGTGCATTGCAGAACAAGCTCATTCCATAATAAATGTCAGCTTTGTGTACTTCAGGCATAGCCAGGAAAGATACCTGATTGTTTGATAAAAGTACGGTTTATTAACCGCTCGGCTTAGGAGGGGTTTTCACATCAGACTGATTACTTCTTTGCTTGGAAATATATCTGCAAACAAACTTCTATGGAAGTTTTGAAATCTACATCATTGTCTCAAGGAGAAGCCTATGAGCTGGGTGAGGATGGGATATTAAATGCTGTAGGGCGGTTACCAAAGCCAGTAACCCTTAGTGGGTCAAACCCACTCTCTAGAGATGTACAGTTTGTAAAACCAGTAGCATTGGTGTCAAGCAAGTTTGTGTATTCACTTGCAATGCATTTACACTGGTTATATGGGCATCCTGGTGTAGAGACACTGGTACATTTTGTCTTGCAAGCGTTTCATGTGGAGAATATCCGGAAGCTTTGCAAGTATATCAGGAAAACCTGCAATAGATGTAGGTTTTTGATGAAAGTCTCAATTAGGATGGAAGCCGGAAGTCAGAGTCAGCTAGCTTGTGTAGTTGCTCCAGTATTTTTCAGCTGCCAGATGGATGTGGCCTCAGGTTTAACTGCATTTGAAGTGAACTTGCGAGTTTCTAAGCCAGGATATTTTTTAATATTAGTATGTATGGTTACTAGTGCTGTATCTATAACTACTCTGGAGGACCTTAGTACCGGGAGTGTGGTAGCAGCATTGGAAAGACATTCAAGTAGATATGGTGTTCCAAAGATACTCCTGCCAGATTTACAATCTTCATTTGCAAAGTTGGAAGATCTCAGAGTGAATTTCAAAGGATTGCAGGGCTGTCTATTTACAGAGAAGCAAATCATTCTAAATTTCTGTACTCCTGGCAATCATCGAGAGCATGGAAAGGTGGAGGCTAGAGTGAAGATTGTGAAAGAACTTCTAGAAAAAACTGGAGATAATGTAATATAACACAGCTTTCTGCAATGGGAAACTGTAGCGTTGCGACTTTCAACCTTCATGAATTCACTTCCTATTGCAAGAGGAGAAGATTCAAGAAATCCTAAAGATATGGAAGTGTTTGGGGTTATTTGTCCTAATCACTTCATTCTAGGAGCTAATCCAAAGAGGATTTTAGATGGGACAAGTACACTCATTGGATCAAAATGCAAGATGTTGGAGAATCTGGAAGAAACTAGAACGCTTTTAGAGGATGCTTTGTTATCACACTTGCACAGATTCATTCCATCATCATTAGGTCATAAATCCGACAAGGTTCCAGAAGTAGGTGATCTGGTGATTTTTATCATGAAGGATAACATGAGATCAAGGAATAAGATCTGGAAGTTTGGACGAGTTATTCAGAACTATGTTGATGGACGTGGTGGAAAGTTAAGAATTTGCTACAAGAATGCAAATGAAGCTGTTGTAAGAGAAATTGAACAACATCTCAATCAAGTATGTTTGATTCAATCTCTTGATGAGGTTGATTTCAATACTGAACAGCACAGACTGGCAATGGAAATCCAGCAGAAAGTTCAGTAGCTTAGCATACTTATTGCCAGGAACATTTTATGCACTATAATTGCAATTTTATTTATTGTTGAAGTATTGCACTATTATTGCAGTTTTTCCATGTTTGTATCTGTACATATAACAATTGTTCTGTATGAAATAAATAGAGTAAATAAACATTTGAGAGAAGAATCTTTTATTAGAAGAGATGTAAGGCAAGTTTATTGCCAGGTAGAGCAAGTTTATTGCTTAAAGTTCTTCCCTGAAAGGGGTATGATTATTGCCTAATTTTGTGTAATGGTTTGGTGCCTAAGTTTAGCAAGTTTATTGCTAGAAATATGAACTAGATGATTATGTGCTAATTTATAGCTTAAATACACCCTTGTCTCTGATTGCTTCTTTACCTAGGATTAATAGCTCAATTATAGCTACTTGCTTAAATATTTTGATTTCTTGGGAGAATATAATTATTGAGAACCATCTGGCCCTGGCCCAGTGTTGTGTAATTTATTTAATGGTTCTCAATAATTTGTTGAATGTTGTTGGAACAAGGTTTTGTAGATTGAGAACAGTCCCTTAGCGAATTTTGTAAGTTTAGAGCAATCCCATAAATAGCTTGATTCACTTCTTATCAAGATAAGAAAAATGATGAATTGGCTGATCTGTCTTTGTTTATTAATTGGTAGGGTGTACTCTGAGTCTTGTACACTTGAGGAAATATCGGCAGGAATTGAGTTGCACTATAAACAAGTAGTTCTAAAGATTCAATGGATTGACGAATTGACAACAATGATCACTACAAAAGAGGGAGATTTCAACTTTCCTGATACAGTTTGTGCACTAGAATACAAGCAGATGCTGAAAACCTTTCTGGATTCACTCCCACCCCTCCCCTACAGGAATCCTCCGAGTCTTCCTCTCATGGGCCAGCATCTCCTAAAGAGGGACCAAACACTGATTTCAGTTTGTTGGCCCTCATTTTTGGCATCCTAGCTTGCCTAGGATTGATGGTTGTAGGATCCTTGTAGATCTTCAACAGATGTATAAAGAAGAGAGAGAGGAGAAGCAACTCGAGGGCGAGACACAGAGTTCCCCTAGACTTGAGCAGTCTACCAACTTCTGAGGTGGTCAGATCAGAAATTCCTGATTTCAACTCATTCCGACCCGTTTACCGTATTGAAAACCAGAACCGTATTTCTCCAACAAAACCTGTGCGTCCACCTCCTCCTTCGGTCCCAACCTACAGACTTCAAAATCCAGCTGAAAGCATGGTTCTCCAGGAGGATCCATCCCTCTCTTCTGTGAATCTGGACTGTGTGCCAGAAAAGTCAGAGAATCCGGACGCTGTGAATCTGGCCTGTGAGCCAGAAAAGTCGGAGAATATGGACACTGTGAATCTGGCCTGTGAGCCAGTAAAGTCAGAAAATACAGACGCTGTAAATCTGGTCTGTGAGGCAGAAAAGTCAGAGAATCCGGACCCTGTAGATCTGGTCTGTGAGCCAGAAAAGTAGGAGAATCCGGATGTTGTGAAGCTGGACTGTGAGACAGAAAAGTTGGTGAATCCGGACTGTGTAAAAAATCTGGCTGGTGAGACAGTGAAGAAACCTGTGGTTTTGGTCACCTTCCTGAACAGCCATGAGCAATTCCGGGCTAATCAGCAGTTTCTGGCAAGAAGTTTTAGGACTCGGATTAACCCCCCCTACAGTTTATACAAACACCCTGATATCTCCTCTGACTCGGAGAACGCAGGGAATACTTCTGAAACTGGGACCATGCTCGCCACAGATTTAAGCCAGTGTTGTTGGACCAATATGTCTGAGGGGGGGCTATAAAATGAAATGTTCAGTCAAGCAACCTGTGTTCCACGGAGGTATCTGCTCCCCAGAAGCTTGCCTCTTTCCCCCTTGGTGTTGGATTTGTTTATGCTCCTTATTTGTTATTCAGGCCCCCCCCCTTTTCATATAATGTACTGCCTGGTGTTGAAATGTATTTTCCATCTGTCCTTTTTGTTAGAGTACAATGGCAGTCCTCAACCACATTTTATTCTGCTACCTGATGGCCCTGTTTTACTCTGCCTATACGAGAAAAGCCTTGATAGTCCAGCGAGTGTTGCGGTGGCACCAGATGCCCCACTCGGGGCTGTCGTCCCCTCATCATCACCTTGGAGTTCAGCCTACTGCTCCTTCTCTCTGTGGAGCTGAGCATCTGTCCTCCATGCTCAATTTTTAATTTAAACCTTTTTTTGAACATAAATAAATTTTCAATTTTTGAAATGTTGCGCAATTTTAGAGAATTGCTATCTAATCCCGATAATAAATAAATGACAAGGTTAAGTAACGTAAATCTTTATTGATAAATACAATCTTCTTAGAAAGGGTTCCATTCAGTTCACAGATTGATAGCAGCAGAGCGGTTTCAAAAACTAAATAAACATAATGTTAGTGTATATAGCAAATTTGAGCAATAACTTTGCTATAATAGCAATGTTGGCAGTTAAGCAATACATGCTTAACCCAACGCAGGGTTAGACTCGTGTATTAGTAATGGTGGCTAACCTAAGATTAGACTTCACTTATTGTTTAACAATAAAAGCAATAAATGTGCTTGTTGCTTAGCTTCTCAGCAATTTAAGTGAAAAGTATCTCTTTAGGACTCTGTAGACTATTTGTATTCAGTCTAAATAAATGTTAGGGAATTCTAATTCATGACAATCACCCTATTATCCCATGAACTATCAGTCATGAACCTAATTGCTATTAAATAGCAATAATTGTGTGTTATCCAATTAAACACTAAATCAGCAATTAAACTTAGCGTATGGCAATAAGTTTGCTTTTACTTTATTGGAGCAATAATCTTGCCCAATAAAAAGGGTTAATAGGAACTAGTCCGAACTGAGCAATTTAACTCTATTTTGCTTCTATTAAAGCAATCAGTTGCATTAAATGCATTACTTGGCAGAGAATAAAAAGTTTATCCTTACTTGTTTCGCTGATCGGGGTTGAACAGAGCTAGGGTAGATCCAGCAGGGTCTTGAGCAATAAGTTTGCTTAAGGAGAGCAATAAGTTTGCTTGAGGATACTGCTGAACCGATATAAACCACAATGAACAACAACACACACACTTGCTAAATTAAAAGTATATAAAGTGCAAGAACAAAAAGATAAAATATAACCCAATAAGATGTACTGCTCAAATAAGAATTTAGTTTAATAAGAATATTGAAAAAAGTTAAAAGAAACAAGAAAATCTTCCAAATTTAAAAGTTTTAGAACGGATCAAAAAACGACGCTTTTGGAATCAATTGGTTAATAACTATTTCACTGTTTAATCTAAAAAAAACACAAAAGATTTCACTTGTAAATAAAGCTGTAAATAGAGCCTTTAATATAAAATTCTACCTCAGATCCGCTGATTTCACAAACTAAATCCAACTAAAAAATGAAAGAATTCCAAATTATTAATCAAAATATTTTAATAATTTTAACCAATTTGACTTTATGTGGAAAAATTTGATCAATCTTTCTAACAAATTTGATCAATCTTTCTAACCTGGTAGTGAGACCAGATGACCAAGGGTACTGCACAGAATTTAGTGCAAACTGGTTTAAAGTTGTAAACAAACAGTAAATAAACAAATAGAATATGTAAAAAATATTGAGAATATTATTATTCAGAACCAAATCACGAATTTAATCAAGCTATTTATGGGATTGCTCTAAACTTACAAAATTCGCTAAGGGACTGTTCTCAATTTACAAAACCGTGTTCCAACAACATTCAACAAATTATTGAGAACCATTAAATAAATTACACAACTGTTTACCAGGTTTATCCACAGAGGAAACAGCGGAGATCAGCTCCAGGGTGGAAGCATCCAAAGTGACAGGAACCAGCATTGTTGACCAGCAGGTGGTGAAATAAATCAGAGCTGAGGATGGGCATGGACACATCAGCAAGGAGAAAAGTCCACTCAAACGGGTGAGAACAGAACTGGAGATGAATCTGGCGTGATCCAAATGTGTCCATGGCAGAACCTTCGGCGGTTCTTAGTTGAACGCCAACACTTGGAGCAGGAGGATGTCCAGGATGATGTGGAAAAACTGAGACTGAGGCTCCTGTTTCAACCAGGTTTGAGGACAGAGAGTTCTTCAAAAACATAAGGTTGGAGGGAGAAGAATCGGCAGGAATTGAGATTAGGAAATCCCTGCTGTCAAATAGTTTCCCGACCATGAACAGGGGGTTCTACACTGGCTAGCTCATCTCCCCATCAGCAGTGGTACCAACAGACCCCGGAGGAACCGACTCTAGTGCCATCTTTCTGAACTGAGGAACGATTAGAACTGCAAGCTCCAGACCTCCAGGATGTATTACAGCTTGGCAAAGCAAACATGTCCTAAAACTGGACTGGGAGGCTGCATCCATTAACCGTCCAAAGTTTGTCAGCCCGAGAGCCCTTCTTCAAGGGTCATTGATGGATAGAGAGAGCAAATGAGCTCGAATATCAGCTGAGAGGCAGTGAATGAACAGGCCTCTAAAGAAAAAAAACAGGCTTCTTGGACCAGCATCTTGTCCATCAGCTCAGAGGGGCATTGGTCAAATAAAAAAGGCAACCTCTGTAGTGCCTGATCTATTTGGAAATCTCTCAGGGAATACATTTGAATAACATATCTTCTTAAGGCTTTGTAGGGCTTGACAAGAGGCCCTTGAACTAGGTCCAGGAGTCTGCAAGCAACATCCTGGGGCAATGCAGCAACACAGTGAGTAAATTTTGACCTGGTGGATCTAATCTTTTTCTTCTCAAACTAAGCCTCTGCTTGAATTAACCAAACCTCCAGAGAATTGGTCCAAAACAAGAGAAATTTCACAGAAATCATCGTCAAAGGGATTGCACCCTGGATCACATCATTCTCCGTTTCCTCAGGCATTTCGGTGATTGCTACTCAATGCTGAAAATAAAGTTTCTCAAAATCGCTTGAAATTTTACTTTGGTGTTTGGGTATGAAAAACACAGAGACCTGGTTGGAGCCAATTTCAGGTATGCTGGTGAGAGAGAGTCTTAAGTCGTCAGCGTCAAATCATGTTGGGGTTGCCAAAATGTAGTGACGCTGAAAGACAAGGGAAATAAACGGATTGTATATATATTGAATTCTAAATTACAAGGAGGAAATATAACTTTTACAGAATATATATTTGGTTTGGTTGAGCCTGGGTTCGGAAATGGCAGACGACAATCTTGCTTCTCAACATAGCAACATTATTCATTCAAGTAAAAACATAATAAACATAAAAAACAGCTACAAGAATATAAAATATTAAAAAAAAATACAGATTATTAAGAATTCTAAAATCTAGAGGACGCCTTGTTTGCCCAATTTTCTAGTAAAAGTTCAAACCTTTGGTCTTTGGAATTTTCTTTTCGTAATAAAACATTTAGAATAAAATATTTTAAAAGAGTGGTATGCCCCCATTCACAAAGATACCCTTTTCACTTTACTTAATTAATCAATAATGTGGAAGATATTGTATCTTTTCTAGCATGCTAGTATGCGGAGTCCATTAGTGCCTGATCTAATCAGGGTTCAGCCATGTGTTTGTTGTTTATTCTAAAGCAATAGAAATTGCATAGCCGTAACATCTATCTTTTTATCTAGCTCATTATCCAATTAGAGATAAATCCTTATATCGGCGCTATAGCAGTAAATGGAAATAATTACTTCTACTGAAACTATTGTGAGCAAGGCATAAGGAAAACGTTTAATTCTGAAAATTAACACAATTGTTTATATAAGCAGAAATGCGCAAGTCACTTTTATAGAAAAAAAAGAAACCTCCTGTTAAAAATAATTAAATTTCCAAAAAGAGGCACTATTCTTAAGGTTTCTGTTTCGTGAATCTGACATGCCATTCAAGGGTCACTTGAAATTTAGTTATAAGTCCTTTTAAATCAGGAAAATAAAATTTTGTGCTGACATTTTCTCATCCTGATTCTAGACTAGTCACTGCAGCCATTTACAACTTTTACGGTTCTACCGTTCTACAAAAAATTTGATTGTATATTAGCGGTTCAGCCATTTCACATTATTTAGGAAAAAACTTTAGACGCGCAGTAAAAAGGTGAGAAATAGTATCCTTAGAAGAACTAAAATCAAGAAAAACTCGATTTCATCTTAAAACTTAAGACATGAATCACAGAACTTTTAGGACAAAATTTACAAAGTTAAGAATTTGAAAGTAAAAAGATTACGTCTTACATTTGTCAAATTATGGGCCTGAAGTTGTGAAACAATGAAACAATCCTTCATTTTATTACTAAACCATATAAGTAAAACCATTGATTTTAAATCTACGAGCTAGATCAAGACTAGTTTTGTTAAAGGGACTATTAAGGTAAAATAAAAGGGGTTATGGGCTAGGTGTCTCTGCTCTCTCTATTTCAGGAATTTCACTGCGGAACGACACCTTGCGGTGAAAAAATCGTCGACAAAAGTACATCGCATACTTTTAAATGAAATCTAAAATTGAACAATTAAAACATTGAAATTAAAATTTTAGACATCTCTGGATTATCGTAATTTTCAGATTCACTCCGTATTTACTTAATATTGTCAATTTAAACTTTGAATGAAAAATCATGTCACTTATATTCGAGTTGTCGTACAACAGTTTGTTTCTCATCAATTTCTCGAGAAAGGGACATCTGATAGAAATATTATTTGTCGCCGTCAACTCCTAGAAGTTCTATCTTAGAATTTCATTTTACATTAACAGTCCCTTTAAGGTCAATTATAATTTTATGGTATCCTTGGTATATATGTATACACATTGTTACATAATTTTACAACTTGACAGGGCTTAGCCTTGGGGTTAAACTTTTATTAGTTACTCCTGACTCCTGAGGTGATTTTTGTTAAAGCAGAGTTTTCCTGTTTTTGTATTATTAAAAATCCAACTGGCTTTTTTCGTGCACTTTTCAAGTCTTCGGGTGAATAATGAACTATTAAATTAATGAGGTTGCCAATTTGAAAAAAGAAGGGGGGGGGGCAGGCGGTAATTGTTTTGAAATTACCGAATACTGACTTATTTCATATTCCTTGGATGTAAAACTTGATTTTTTTTAAAGTAGTATTTGAAAGATTTGTATTAGGAATGCACTAACTCTCTATTTTAAGAACATGGCAGCCATGATTCCCAACTGAACATTTTAGAAGTGTTTAGACAAGTATTTATCAGCAAGATTTGGTCAGTTTTTGATAGTTTTTCTCATATTATGTAATAATATCTCTAGTGTAAGTAAAATAGGAATAAGCAAGTCATTTTTTTCTCTAGTAAACTTATGATCTTCTCTCTTTTAAGGAAAAGTGTATAATATACATTTGTTAATGAATTTGAAAACAAGACTAAATCTAATCTGTCTCAGTAATCTCAAACATAACATGTATAGTAGTCCTCTCTCTATCTACCAATGAGCTTACGAACTGTAGTTACTTTAGTAATAATATAAAACATGCGCAGTGTTAAATTAATGTATTTTAAAATTTTTCTTTGTAACTTTTCCCAGTTTGAACCCTAATTATTTCTTAGATTGACACTTCCCCTGTACACATATTACAGGACTATGTCATTCTTCGTCAGTTGCCACCCCCCCCCCCCACCTACCCTCTTCCCCCTTCCTTCTTTCCTTTCCCAAATGCACTCCTCTCTCCAATTTTCCTATCTCTTTCCCTCCATATTTTTTTTCTACCCCCTCCATATCCCAATTTTTCCTCCAATTAATTTCTATACATCCCCCCCGCCCCGAGCTACCTTTCCCTCACCCACCCCCCAAATACCTCATTTTAAATCCTCTTAATTCCTCTGAAATCCTTGTTTGTTTAACTAGAAAGTTTTTATGTTTGCCCCCAGCACTTGTTCTCGTGTAAACAGTTCTAAGGAACATATATATATCATATGCTAAGTTGGGCTGTTAGCGTATTAACGCAGTGTAATGTCCGATTCACAACGGTAAGCTATAATTATATAGAAATAATGTGTTTTTTATTAAATTTTAGTAATATGAGATATTACAAATAAGCAATCACAATTATCTTTGCAGTCTGGACCCGCCTAACCAGGGTAGGTTGCTTTAAGTGGTTTGCCCTAAGTTAGTTAATGATAATGAATAACATATCCTAGACTTTATATCAGAAATACGAATATTATCAACTGTGGTTTATCTTTGAAAGTATCTTACGAATTTATGCAGCAGAGACAAAGGGTCGTTTGAAACTATATAATGTTAGTCACTTTTTTTAGTGATAAATACTAAAACATTATGAAGGATCGGCATGATATAATTTTATTGATCGTCAATTATCTGTTAATATTGTCGATCTGTCGATCTATTTAACTATCTCGTTAATCAATATGTTTAGAGTTGAGAACTTATGTTCTGTTTATCCCAGGATCAATCAGTTATCTGGATTTTTTAAATTAATTTAAAGAATCAAAAAATTATCCTTAAAAGTTGCCACGAGGATATCGAGATCAAGCGTTGTATGATCAGCGTTATATCTTATACAGTAGTTTTGATATGAGTATACACTATACAGGGTTGCCCACAAAAAATGAGATTTCAATGACGACCCATAAATTAGATACATTAGTTTAAAGGTTGCATTTAGGGTTCTACTTTAAAATAGCATTTGAATAAAAACAAGTTTACAGCTTTGCAGAGAACCATAAATGTAAGAAAAAGGTCGTCTCTGAAGTCTCATCTTTTGTAGGTAACCCTTTATTTTGCTTTGCCATGAAAGTGGAGAAATTCATATATACACATTACATTGTTATCTCAAATTCATATATACACATTACATTGTTATCTCAAATTCAGTATATACACATTACATTGTTATCTCAAATTCATATATACACATTACATTGTTATCTCAAATTCTTATATACACATTACATTGTTATCTCAAATTCACATATACACATTACATTGTTATCTCAAATTCATATATACACATTACATTGTTATCTCAAATTCGTATATACACATTACATTGTTATCTCAAATTCATATATACACATTACATTGTTATCTCAAATTCATATATACACATTACATTGTTATCTCAAATTCATATATACACATTACATTGTTATCTCAAATTCATATATACACATTACATTGTTATCTCAAATTTTATCGATTTCGAATTGCAATTTTAGCAAAGTAAATAATATACAGCATCTAACTGAAAAACATGTTCTTCGGAAGAAGATAGGAAAACAGCAGCTTTAAAATCAACTTAATTGGATTATTTATTATCATAACTTCAGTTTAACAGTCGTCTTCCTATTCCATGGTTTTATGGCTTTTTAAAAACATTTTGATTTGTTAGAAATGCATATTCATTGTCTTTATCGGAAATTTCCTACAGAATAATTTTGAATAGAATTATTTTTATTGGGACTCGTTGTGTGTTCTATTGACAAGTTTTCTCATCTAATTGTTTCATCTGAGTAGTTGCAGCTTGTAGCTTGTAGCTAGAGATGGACACGTTCGAATTTTTTTATTTTGTTCGGTTTTTTGTTTCAATCGTTTGTTAAATAACATTATTCGTTCAGTAAAAAATTTTGGAAAATTCGTTCGTTCAGTAAAAACTCTAGTTTTTCCAAGTTCGTGTTTGTTTATTTTTTAATTGTTTTTGAAAGACGATTAATTTTTATCTCTCTGAACGATTCATTTCCTTGGTTTTTATGTTAAACGACGCCCTTTTTCACGAAATATTTCGTTCAATCTCAAAAATGTCGTTCATTCAGAAAAACGCCGCCCATCTCTACTTGTAGCTTGAAGCTTGTAGCGGTCAGTTTATCAGTTTATCCCACATCTCACGGTGCACTGAGCTCCGGCTCTAGCTATCCATCAAAACATGGGGAAATTGCAAAAATAAATAAATAAATTCTTCGCTAAATATTTCGCTAAATTGTATGAATGAAAGCTCTTGGAACATGATGACACACACAGCCGTATTTTCAAGCTTTATTGTTTTAAACATTTTTTTGTTATCGTATACATCAAGCAAGTTTTTACTTCATTGTAAAAGGAGATTTTAAAATTCCTATATCTTTGTAACCTGCTAATGAAAACCTTTAATATTTCTAGTTTCGATCTACTGCAAAGTCAGAAGTTTGAAATATCAAAAGCTCCAACATCATCAGGTTGGAAAGATATAAAGATTTTTTAAATTGGACTTTCAGACAAGAACAAGTTAAGATTTCCATTTGGGGCTTGTGTATTGTGTAAAGCGTTTTTTTCATACTTTTACAAAATCTTCACATTAGATTAAAACTACATTTCAATAATGAAAAAAACATTAGTTACTGTTATAGTTATAGTTATAGTTATAGTTATAGTTATAGTTATAGTTATAGTTGTAGTTATAGTTACAGTTATAGTTATAGTTATAGTTATAGTTATAGTTATAGTTATAGTTATAGTTATAGTTATAGTTATAGTGCAACTTATAAATAGTTCACACACATTTTTTAACCCTTCTAAACGAGAAAAAAACGGAAAAACGGTATTACCGTATTACATAAGAATGTAAATTACACAATCGTCGTCACATATATCATTACAATGAAGACGACTTTCGATTTCTATTTTGATTTATATTAAGCTTTTAAACAGCATATGGAGGATATTGGATACACATAAGAGAATAATACTTGCAAACTTGTAATTCGAAAAAAGCTTCTAAACAAGTTTACTGATTTGTATATTCTTTTGTCCCTTCCAGAGTTCAATGTTGCTTGAAGGTTGCTGGTTATGTGGATCTGAAGAAACGGAGACATGTACCGAATGTACAGGGGTGTACTGCACTGTACATAGACAAATACATAAGTATGATAAGAAATGTTCACCAATCAGGTATGTTTTTAAAAACGTTTCTACTTTCTTAGTCAATTTACACTTTTTAAGTTTAAAGGGATTGTTAAGATATTTTACGTATGTAGGTGGTGGGGGGTAAGTAAGCAAATATATTCTCAAGCTAGTTTGCGCAAATGTGCTTGCGATACCGGATTTTTTTTTAATTAAGCACAAAAATGCGCGAAATATGCGTGCAACAGTGAACGAAAAGTCTTTAAATTCTATATTAAAAGTAAATATTCTTTCTTTAAATTGTACTATGGGTATCATCAGAGAATAAGGCAAGGATACAATAGTTTTATAATGATAAATTTATTGAACATTTTGTTTTTTACGTAACAAAGCACAATAAATTTTTAATTGGCGGCGGAATCAAATAATTGCGCGACAAATGTGAAATTTTGCGCAAATTATTTTCCTTAGTTAGTTAGTTTAAAATATATTACTATTAGAACTAGTTTAAAACAAAATATCACCGAACACGGGTATAATACATTTTAAGTCAACATATTCATAACAAATAAAAATTTGAAGTTTAATTTCTGATAGATGACGATATGCTATGCTGAATACATAAATATCTTAACAATATAATTATGGAGAGTGAGTTAATTGCATTATATAGTCTGTTATGTAAACGTAAACAAAACAAAAGAATGATAGATTTGGTCTTTTTGTGACGCTTTTTTTGGGTGTCCACTGTCCGTTTAGATTATTCTAATGTTTTTGGTAAAATAAAAAGCTGTATCATCAGAAATCAGAAATGTTTACTGGAGAGGAAGTATTTTTTAAACATTTGCTCATTAAGTTTGATAGTACTAAGTTATGTGAAATCCGGAAAAAAATCCAGAATATTCCGGTTTTTAAAATTTGACCTAGATATGAAGAAAATACCAAGAGATAATGGAGTTGGCAGAGCGAATAGCTGTTTCCTTCATTTTATCATGAAAATAGATTCTTATCAAAGAAAATCTAATTGATCTGAAAACTGTCATATTTCAAGTTTTTACCATATTATCAGATTCAAACCTGAATTCTTATTCAAAAACAAAGTTTTCATTTTTAATACAAAAAAGTGTAATTTTTTTGACCAACAGTTTTTACTCTTCTATTGGTGATGTTTGAAAAGTTTAAAGTTTTATTACTTTTCCTGTTTTTAACAGGGTTCGAGTTGACGATGAAAAGGGAAAATGTTTGATTGCTACACGGGATATTAAACCTTTAGAGGTCAGCATTATACAGTCGCCATTTTGAATAATTCTTCAAGATTTTAAAACCAAACCAAACCAAACTTAACTATAGATTTTTTAAATTATTTCAAAACAGACCAATAACAAGATTCAACTAAACTAACTAAAGAGACAAACTTCGTAAATTGAGATTGACATCAAATTAAACTGAAGAAGAGTAAAACTCGGTAAAATCAGATCAAATTAAACTGAAGAAGAGAAAAACTCGGTAAAATCAGATCAAATTAAACGGATCGAGGGACTGAACAGAAATAACGCGTATAAACAATACGCAAAATTAAACCAAACTTAACTCAAAACCACAAAATACAAAACCAGACCAATCCATAATAAGCTAAACCGTTAAAAACCTAACAATTAACACACAAAACTATACCAAAATCAACCTTACAGGCAAAACTGAACAAACAAATTAAAAAAGCTAAGCAATTGAGAAAAAATGCTAAATACCATTACAAGACGAAACTTGATATTTGTTCTTCAGGTTATATTAAAAGAATCACCTATCCTGGTATCACCATATACGAAAACTAAACCTCTTTGTCTTGGCTGCTACAGGTTTGAAGTTAGATTTATTTCAAAGTGGAGTTGTAATTAACTTTCAGTGACACTCCAGTAGTAGATTGGAAATACGAATCACACTGCAAACCAAGATGTGCACGCAAATATCGACCAGTATTTTGTCAGTTACTCTTTTTTTAACTTAAGCTGAGGTCAAAAATGTATGAGTAAGTTGGAGCAAAACAAAGTAAAAGGACAAAATGACAAGAGTAGTCTATAGATCGCAGTTTTACCCTTTTTCTAATCATGGACTGCACCATAAATAAAATGTACGCATCAATGAAATCAAAAGGCATTCAATTTTTATTTAGAAAAATTACGATATTTACGACTTGTTTGAGCATACCAAGTTGTAAAGAGTGCTGTTGAGAATCTAACATGCCAATGTACAAATGAAGGATCAAGGAGTTATGAGATATCGAAAACTCGTATCAATAACCCTGTATAGTCCAATAGTCAAAAGTCGTAAATTATTCCTTTAAAGACATTTTACTGAAATCCTTTCTCTCTTGCTTTTTAGAAAAGTAGATTTGAGTTTCTGTTGTCAGAATTGCGGATTTCCACTCTGTAATGATAAGGTGATTTTTAAAAAAAAAATACGATCACATACACTCGATGAAAAACTTGTATTTTTTATGTCATTCCGTCAATTTAATTTCCACGATAACATCTTGATATAAAGCAATTAACACAAACCTTTTATTTAATTTCTTTCACCATCCAATGTTTAGAAAGGTCGTTGTCCATTTTGGCCTAATTATTTACTGTCTCTTCATTGGGAAACTGATTTCTGTTTTTTTGTCTCATAATTTTTGCATCGCCAATGTTTTCAAATTTTAGTGTGGACTCCAATCCTACCATACTGCTGAGTGCAAAATAATTGCAAATTCATCTTGGAGACCCAGCATTAAAAATACGGATAGCATAGGTTATTATTATTATTATTATTATTATTATTATCTATATAATAAAACAAGACATATACATATATATATGTTGCGTACAGCCGGCCAAACGGCAGGACCGTATGGGCTGACATTTTTTGTGTATACTCATAGGTAGCCCGAGGCTAACACAGGCTAAATAAAATTAAATTTTTAAAAACATTTTTTGATTCCACGGGCAACGCCGGGCACTTCAGCTAGTTATCATTATCAATATTATTTGTAATTCCAGAGTCTGATTATGCTGTTATACTTCTACTTCGCTGTTTACACATGAAGGAGGAAAATACTGCATTTTTTAATCTTTTCTCTTCGTTCTACAGGTCATTTTTCTCCTCGTTCTACAGGTCATTTTTCTCCTCGTTCTACAGGTCATTTTTCTCATCGTTCTACAGGTAATTTTTCTCCTCGTTCTACAGGTAATTTTTTCTCCTCGTTCTACAGGTTAATTTCTCTTCGTTCTACAGGTAATTTTTCTCTTCGTTCTACAGGTTAATTTCTCTTTATTCTAAATTTAAATTTTGTCTTTGTTCTACAGGTAAATTTTCTCTTCGTTTTACAGGTAATTTTTCTTTTCGTTCTACAGGTAATTTTTTTCCTAGCTCTACAGGTAAATTTTCTACTAGTTCTACAGGTATATTTAACCTAGCTCTACAGGGAACATTTCTCTAAGTTCTAGAAGTAACTTTTTTCTTCGTTCTATAGGTAAACTTCTCTTCGTTCTACATGTAAATTTTCTTTTTATTTTACTGGTAAATTTTTTCTTCGTTCTACAGGTAAATTTTCTCTTCGTTCTACAGGTAATTTTTCTCTTCGTTCTACAGGTAATTTTTCTCCTAGTTCTACAGGTATATTTAACCTAGCTCTACAGGGAACATTTCTCTTAATTCTACAGGTAACTTTTTTATTCTACATGTAAATTTTCTTTTTATTCTACTGGTAAATTTTCTCTTCGTTCTACAGGTAAATTTTCTTCTCGTTCTACAGGTAAATTTCTCCTAGCTCTACAGGTAAAATTTCTCTTAGTTCTACAGATAACTTTTATTTTCGTTCTACAAGTAAATTTCTCTTCGTTCTACTGGTAGATTTTCCTCTCATTCTAAGCGAAGAAATCGTTTTCAATTGACTAACGATACATTGTTAAAATCTTTTTCCATGTATGATATATTGCACTTTACTTATTTTTCTTCTTTTTGAATCATTCAAATCACTTTGAAGGTTACTAAAATAAAGTTAGCATAATGGAATTTTAAAAGAGTCTTTTTTAGTCATAGAGAGTTGCGAAGAGTTGAAAACCCAGAACTCTGGAAGTTCCATCAGGAAAACTCTGTTAATGTTCTCAGAAACCTCATTCCAACATCTCAGCTTAGGAAACTTAGATTAACTCTGATATCAATTTAAAAAACTTTGATTTACTTTGCTTGTTGAAACTTAATGAGCTTTACAGTTTACTGTCTTTGCCACAATCTCTGATTTTCTAATCCCTATATCTTTGAAGCCCAATACCGTAGACCTTAGATATTTTAAACTATCAATTCTGAAAGAAAATAAGATCTTAGGTGCAACACTGTATAGTGAACACCATCAGGTTGCAAAGATATATGGATAAGTCAAATTTCAGTTTGTGGCAAAGACTCAATTCTTTTCACATCATGTCTAAATCATACAGGTTTTCAATCATATATCCTTTTATTAAAGAGTTTTTAGATAAAAGAAACATTTAACTTCTAGATAGAATAAACTGCATGATTTTTATCTTTCTGGAGAGATTAAATACAACACTGAAGGAGCTACGAGGTCACAAAGTCATACCTTCATGTCGTATAAATTTGACCTATTTTACGTGCCCTCATGGAACAGAGATTTTGATGTATTTATATCAAGTTTGTACAAGTGCAGTGATGAAAACTTACATGAAATATTAGGTAATCTAATACAAAATATCTTCATATATAATTGTTTAAAAGAATTTGTTAACAAGCTTCTGGGTGAGAATAAAGTTCCCATACTGTACCCGTCCCATCAGTAGACTGGCCAGTTCCCATACTGTACGCGTCCCATCAGTAGACTGGCCTGTTCCCATACTGTACGCGTCCCATCAGTAGAGTTCCCATACTGTACGCGTCCCATCAGTAGACTGGCCTGTTCCCATACTGTACGCGTCCCATCATTAGACTGGCCTGTTCCCATACTGTACGCGTCCCATCAGTAGACTGGCCTGTTCCGTTACTGTACGCGTCCCATCAGTAGACTGGCCTGTTCCCATACTGTACGCGTCCCATCAGTAGACTGGCCTGTTCCCATACTGTACGAGTCCCATCAGTAGACTAGCCTGTTCCCATACTGTTCGCGTCCCATCAGTAGAATGGCCTGTTCCCATACTGTACCCGTCCCATCAGTAGACTGGCCTGTTCCCATACTGTACGCGTCCCATCAGTAGACTGGCCTGTTCCCATACTGTACGCGTCACATCTGTAGACTGGCCTGTTCCCAAATATAGTCTTTGTGAATATTGTATTTGTTGTTTAGTAAGGATAAATATTTTGACCATGTGATATATCTAAAAGGCGTCTTCTATATTTAAAATCTGCTGCTGCAGGGTTGATGTACACGAACAGTGTAAATCTTGAAGTACCCCCTGGTTATGGTGAAGTCACAGGCAAAGAAGAATAAAAGAATAAAAAATATTCTCCAAACACACTGAACTAGCCGGAGCATAACAACTCTGGACATTTAAACTCCTAAAACACGGTAAACCAACCGGTGAAAAACTTTAAGTGCATAAAATTCCCTATACGATAAACCAAGATGTTGCATCACATTTTTTAGTGTCGTTTTACTCTTTGGTGAAAAAACACAAAAAAAAGAAAAATTTGCATGCCAAGAATCAAAATTTTTTTTTATTATTTTGGGAATTTTCTAACGGTTTTTAGATTTAATACAGCGAGTGAAAAACTGATGTTGAATATGAAACCAACATAGCAATACTTTTGTTTATTTAATAAATAAATATAAAAAAAACATATCACAAATAGCTTAAAAATAAAGTAAAATGGGTCATCTTCGCAAAATTGCTGTGTTTATGCTCATTAGACTATTTAAAATCATAACTTGGGTATAAAAGTCATCTTCCTATTCCACAGTATTATGGTTCTCACCGTATATTTTATAGTTTTCTTTGCCTGCTGATAGGGTTCTATCCTACATATGCAAACCTGAACCATTCTTGCCTAGCAAATACTAAGTCAGTTGTTAGACCTGACTCTACTATTGAGGTAAGTGAACCTATATCGAGTCAGTTATACAACCTGACTCTACTATTGAGGTAAGTAAACCTATTTTGAATCAGTTATTCTACCTGATTCCAGTATTGAGGTGAGTGAACCTATATCGAGTCAGTTATACGACCTGATTCCACTATTGAGGTAAGTGAACCTATATTGAGTCAGTTATTCTACCTGATTCCAGTATTGAGGTGAGTGAACCTATATAGAGTCAGTCATACTACCTGATTTCACCGTATAGGTCAGTGACCTTTAAAGGGAGTGTTCGCGAAAAATGAAAGGGGGTATAGGCTTAATGCGATAAAAAAGCGCTTTTGATCGCCACTAATCTTACTTCTATCTGTTGCGTCTATAAGGAGAAAATTGTTAAAGACGTCTCATACCGAATAACATGGCGTCCATACAAATTGAGAAAATTGCAACATACGACTTAGACCGTAAAAAAAATCAATTTAATTTCAAACAAATCATTCAGATATTACAACCTATAGTCATCGATTATCTTTCGCCACATTTAAATATAGTTGATTTTTCATAATATATTTTAATTGTTAGGATCTGAGAGTTACTTATAAAAACATTTATTCCTGTTTCGAGGATTTTTGGTAATGAAGACGACATTTTCATATTTTCCAGGAATGTTCGAAAACAAGTTGTCAGCTAAATATTATTTTAAAAAACAAAATCAAAACTAGTATGAAATATTAAATATATACAAATGTGGCGAAAGATAATCGATGACTATAGGTTGTAATATCTGAATGATTTGTTTGATATTAATTTGATTTACGGTCTAATTCGTATGATCCAACTTCCTCAATTTGTATGGGCGCTACGCTCTTCGGTATAAGACGTCTTTATCAATTTTCTCCTTATAGACGCAACAGATAGAAGTAAGAGCAGTAGCGATCAAAAGCGCTTTTTTATCGCATTAAGCCTATACCCCCTTTCATTTTTCGCGGAATCTCCCTTTAAGTCAGTTATACGACCTGATTCCTCCAAAGGTCCGTGAATTATGCTAAGTCAGTTATTACGACCACTGGATATTAAAACAACTTTAATAAAAGATTTTCTTAAAAACCACTATTACGTGGACGAAACCCAGTTTTTATGACAATTAAATTTGTGGGTATCAAAAGATCCGTATTGTTTTCAGAAAAGTTTTAATTTATAAACCCATATTAGCACGTTTTATAGTTTTTTTTAATTTTAGACTTTTAAAAACATTTTTTTCTCAAAAGTCAAATTCGTAATACTAAAATTGCTTTTTAGAAAATAAATGTTCTCAAAGTTGTTTAGATTTTATTCTCCATACAAAATCCGGTTAAAGCAGTAGAGAAAGGAGAAAGGAAAGATTAAATATTTGTGAAATTTCTGTGAGCAATTGATATGGTTAAATTAATTGAACTCTAAATTATATTTTTAGATTAGAGAAAAGATCTGCTTTTTTTATTCATAGCGGATAGTAATTCATAGTTTTCGCTTTTTCAGGATTAAATATGAAATATAATTAGGAATTATCTCCCCCCCCCCCATTAATTAAATCTAAAAAAAGTTTTGATACAGGGTTTCTAAATAACGCTATCTAAGTTACTACTAAACTTTAAAATGGTTGAAAATTAATTGAGTCTTTGGAACAAACTCAAATCTTATCCCTGTATATTTGCATCCTTATGGTGTAAACCTTTGATTTTTCAAACTTAGACTTCTTGATTTAGCAGATTTCTTAGTTAGAAAAAGGTATTAAACATTAGGTTGCAAGGATGTTGAGATCAGTAAATTGGAATTTGTGGCCGGCTAAGACTCAAAATTTTCATTTAATTTATTTCTTTTAAAATATTTATTTTGAAGACATCAAATATAAATATAAAAATCAAGCCATGATGAGAGCCGTAGCTTAAAGAACTTTTTTTGTCACAAGTTTTAGTTCATCAATTTTTTTCATTCATTTGGTTCAGCCCTTTCCCAGCTTGATAATAAGTCAAATTAAATACATAACTTCGATTATGTCAGTGTACATATCCATTATGGTCTATGCATAGGTCTGATCAGGTCAGAATGATGCTTTTATTCAGGGCATGGTCTTCTTTCTAAAATTGTAAATATGATTTCAGTTTTTCATTGGGTAGATATTTCTAAAACATCCAAATATTTGCTTCTTGAGAAAACAAATATTAGAATGTACCAAGGAAGAATTTAATTATGCTTTTTGATATGAATATTTTCAGATTTTCTTTAAACAAATTCTCAATTTTTAGTTTTCTAAAGGAATTAAGTCTCTGCACTGCCACGAATTCTGATTTTCTCCTCCTATATCGTTGTCGTAGGCCTTAGATATTCCAAGCTAATTCTGTTAGAGCAAATAATCTAAGTTGGAAAAATCAAAGGTTGAAACCATCAGGTTGCATAAATATATTGATTCGAAAATTTGAGTTAGTGGCTCAGACCCGATTCTTTTGTTTAATCAATTAATAATTTCTGAAAATTGACTTAGAACACTGTATGTACTAGGTTCGAGCCCAGATAAAGATATCAGCTGGGGAGGAAATACTAACACAGTATGTGGGTGGAGAGAAACCAACTAGGATTAGGAGAGATATTCTTAGGTAAATGGGCGTGGTGCTAGGGAGGCGTGACACAGTGGTTAAAATCAGCAATAGTTCAGTGAAAGTATTAATTTTATCTTAAAAATATAAGATGTTGGTTTTTAAGGATGACGACATTCTACAATCGTAGTTTAGTTATATTTACAGATACGAGGTGCCCCAACAGACATGGGGGTTAAGGAACGACGGTTAAATCGTCTTTGATCGAAGCATCATCTTCCAATAAATTTCCAAAATCAAATCAGATATTTTTGACCCAGACATGTACAATATACCGTCTGAACCTTCTAGACAGAGGAAATCCTTTTGTGCAAGAACTCCAAATCACAAAATTCAAATTTAAATTTTCGAATCCTTTTGGAATTCAAACTCAGAATATGTGATCTAACAAAATTGATAGTTTTAACAATTTTAAGATATTAAAATAGGTTTTGAAAGAAACACTGGCGAGGCTTGTGCACATATGCAAAATCTCTAACTTTGCTTTGAAAGCTAATATATAGTCTTTGGAAACCTTGTAAAATAAAATTTAACTATTATCTGACATATTGGGTACTCTATATAATTACTCAAAAATCATAATCTCTGACACCTGAAGGATTCTGGCTGTTCAAAACAAATCCAAAAGTCTAAAATTATGTGAAAGTTTTGTGGGAGAGGGGAGTATGGAAGGTTAGGACGTTTGATGGGAGTGAATTGTAGGGGGTGCCGGGATTTTTTAATTTCTATTTTGTTTAAGATCAAAATGTAAGTATTTTCACACCGAACGTAGTGAGGTGTGAAAATACTTTTTAGCCCCCCTAAAGGGGAGCTTAGAAGGATATGAAGTTTGAGGGGAACTTAGTAGTTAGAGGAGGGGCTGGGAGCTTGGTAGATTTAGTATCTAGAGGGGAGCATGGAAATATACGGAGATAGGGAAAAGCTTGGTAGGTCAGAGAGCTTGGTTATTTAAGCAGCTTATTTAATCTATGGGCTTAACTAACGTAGTGCACTATTACAAGAACTCCTGATGTTGCGTTCAATTAATCGAAGAATATATCCTGGAAAAGTTTAATTTAAGGAGCTCTGCTCTGTACCCGCGAATCAGATCCAACTAATACCTGGAGTAAAACCAACAGTGGTAAACCTAGGACCCGGAGTAAAATCTGCGGAGGAACAGTTCTCAGCTTAAATCCTCTAGATTCAACCTCAAACTATGAATGTCAGGTACAATTGAACTTTAAAACAAATAAATTTAAAAAAGCAGTGTTTTATCTTTAACAGTCGATTAAAATTTATATCTTTAAAGGGAGCGTTCGCGAAAAATGAAAGGGGTTATAGGCTTATGGCGAATTAAAAATAAGCGCTTTTGATCGCTACTAATCTACTAAAGAACATAGCGTCCATACAAATTCAGAAAGTTTCGACATTCAACTCGGATCGTAAAAAAATCAATTTAATTCAAAACAATCCATTTAGATATTATATTTACAACCAATAATCATCGATAATTTTTCGACGCATTGGTATATAGTTGATATTTCATTATTTTTTTTTGACCTAATAGTTACTTTTGAAAACATTTATTCCTGTTTCGAGGATTTTTGACAATGAAGACGACATTTTCATATTTTCCAGGAATGTTCGAAAATCCAGCGGCAGCGAAAATTATTTTTGAAAGAAAATACAAAATATTATGAAATATTAACTATTTACGAATGCGTCGAAAATAATCGATGACTAACGTTTGTAATATTTTAATGATTTGTTTGAAATTGATTATTTTACGATCCGAGTTGAATGTTGCAACTTTCCGAATTTGTATATGGACGCTACGTTCTTTGGTAAATGTCCTTTTTAACAATTTTCTCCTTATATAGACGCAACAGATAGAAGTAAGATTAGTAGCGATCAAAAGCGGTTATTTTTCACAGTAAGCCTATACCCCCTTTCATTTTTAGCGAACGATCCCTTTAAAGAAAGTGTTTATCGGACCTAAACTAAGTATATTATGCAAACCCATTCAATAAGATATCAGCAGATGTCATATCAATCAAATTTTTCCCTCAAACGTCGTCTTTGTTTTTTCTTAAAGTCAATATAAGATTAACATAGATTGTATAGGAGTGTACGGTAAGGTACACAAATGACTGGGTGGAAGTGAAGTTGAAAGAGGCCGAGAGGTTTCTACGAACTCCAGATAGGGAAATATCTTGAACTATCTTAAAACATCTTTAAATATATAGGAAATATCTTGAAATTTACCATCTTATCCTTCTTACGTAACACGATATTCTTAGTCCTCTAATCCAATATAAGATAAATTAAATCTATTCATCCTTTCTCTTGCATGCAATCTTGACATTTTATCATTTTATTTAATTTTCCCCTCAATTTAACCTTTACCCTGGTCCTTTCCTAGAGTAGAATTAAGATTTACGATGTTTATATTTAACTATCATCATCTGTATTGAAAGTACCAATCTCTACACTGACAAATTTTAGTTCACAATTTACTAACCCTGTACTGTACCAAACGGCCTGTACTGTACCAACCAGCCTCTACTGTGCCAACCGACCTGTACTGTACCAACCGACCTGTACTGTGCCAACCGACCTGTACTGTACCAATCTACGTATCTGAACTGTGCTAATAGACCTGTACCGTACCAACCGATCTGTACTGTGCCAACCGACCTGTACTGTACCAATCGACCTGTACTGTACCACTCGACCTGTACTTTACCAACCGACCTGTACTGTAACAACCGACCTGTACTGTACCAAATGGCTTGTACTGTATCAACCGACCTAAACTGTACCAACCGACCTGTACTGTACTGTACCAACCGACCTGTACTGTACCAACCGTCCTGTACTGTACCAACCAACCTGTACTGTGCCAACCGACCTTTACTGTACCAACCGACCTGTACTGTACCAACCGACCTGTACTGTACCAACCAACCTGTACTGTATCAACCGACTTGTATTGTACCAACCGACTTGTATTGTACCAACCGACCTGAACTGTTGGATCAAATAATATAAGTTTGAAATATCAAAGGTTTACACCATCAGGTTTCAAAGTTTGTTTCTATATCTAGGCGAAAATCATATTATAATATTATCTAGATAATCTGTTATATATTTACATATAAAGATTTCATATCAATTCCATCAATGCTTCTTCGAAAAGGGAGTTATTTAATATTTTAAAAAACATTTCAAGATATATACTCGTGTAGATGTGAAAGTGTTTTAGTTCACATGGAACATTTTCTTTATATATATTCAACTATTCTTCACCAAAACAATTATATTTTTACAACAGGAATATATTACGTATAAAAGTTTATGTACAGTACAAGGAATGAAGTTTGAGGCAAGTATTCAGTTCCTTTAGTTAATAGATATACAAGTAAAGAATTCCATTTAGTGGATTTCTAATTGGATTATAAGATTTGAATCGACAGATAATAGACAGATCTTTTCTCGCCAACTGTGTATAAACTGAAGTAAATTGCACGTGATATTGAAATCTTTTACGCGTTTTCAATCAGAAAAAATATAACGGGTGTCCGAATTTAATGAATTAAAGCTGCGTCTCAAATCCCCCAAAAACCGGTTTCAATTGAGCGCCGGTGTACTGCTTGGAGAGAACTCGTACCTGGAGCTGACTCGTAAAGACAAAGACGACCTGCGTAGAACCTTAACAATATCAGCGGCATCAGCCAGAATTGTGCGCATCGGCAGTTCTTGTGCAATTTCAAGAGGTACTGTTTAAGCCAATTTAATTTTTGCCGAAATATTGTTATTTTCCTTTGAAATGAGCCAAAATTTATCATACAGTCTCTGGGAAAAGGTATATTCCTAGAGAAAGATTTTTGGACCCCC